ATATATATATCTATATTTATATATAAGTTGGTAAGAAATCACAACTCGTTTTAAATGCATTCATCATATTGTGATCGTGATATATTGCATCATTATAATAGAAATTGAATATGTAAAATTACAAACATAAAAAAATCATTGCTTTGCCGATTACACTATTTAGTTTTCAAATTTACACTTTTGGATTGTTGTATAACAAAGTTTATCATAGTTTTCTCATAGTTTTGTAGGTGCTACATATAAATTTGTTTTTCATATAAATGTAATTTTGAAAACAGCACAATGTTTTGTTGTCATAGTATGGAAAAGAACTAAAAAATAATGGACACTGTAATGGAAAAGCATTTTTTTTAATTAGATAAGATGTCGATAAGATGTCGCAGTTCTCAGAAAGAAGAAAGAGAGAGAGAGAGAGAGAGAGAGAGAGAGAGAGAGAGAGAGAGAGAGAGAAGAGAGAGGGACCAGCCTATTTATTATTTACATAACACATAATTATATAAAGTAATCCATCAAAGAAAGGCCAAAAAAATATTGGATAAAAAATTTAATTCCAGAGTACAGCAAAAATAATAAAACTTGTAATAAAATCTATAGGCTTGGAAGTAGAGATAGTTCTTGTAAATTATAATGCAAATCAGACCAGAAAGGATTGACTGAGGAATAATACAAAAAGACATGAGTAAATAAAAAAGCAAATGTAAAATAAACATCAATTACAGGAAAAAACAGATCATATGATCAATTATCAATATAAACAGATAAATAAAAATATATCAAATATATCAAAATCAAGTAGAATAAATCAATTTGAGCATCAATTTACATCGTAAGTAATAAGAAAATGCCATATCTCGATGATAGGAATATATAAATATGTTTACGAGAATATGTAAGGTCTTTTCATTTAGTGACAGAAACATCTTTCTTAATATTCAAAGAGCAACAAAGATAGAATAATACTTGTGTCGACTTATGTACCAAATAGAAAACATTCATCACTGAAGCAGTGAGCATAGCACAGAACAGAACCAGAAGAACATGGACATAGCATGGCAGTTAATGGTGTTACCATCAGATATATTTACAAACGTGGCTACGTAGTTCATGTTCACGTTTTGCGCACGTAGAAGCACTAATAGCTTGCTTCTATCTACACATACTCTGTCACTCTGCTGTATATATGTACATGCAATCAGCTGTGCAATTTGTGAATGGTACACTGTACATATAAACGAATGTAAACATAGACTCTATATGGTGCGTGAACGATGTTTTTCTATTCCTTTCTCTCTCTTCATGTTTAAAATAAATAATTTAATCTGTATAAAAAATCTATAAAAGTGGTAAGTGAATAAATATGGAATTCTTTTAAAATTCATTTCTGTCGATTCTCTTGAACATAGAAAGTTCCATTCTAATCTCCGATTTGTAACCTTATTTTCTCTTTTTTTATAGACACAACAGAAGAACTAATATTGTTCAATCAAGATGAGTAAATACGTGAATTTGATGAACGTGGGCACTACTTACG